ATCGACATCAATTCCATGTGACAGTATTAAATCTAGAGTATGATTTCGACAATGAAGTAGGTCATGACACGTGTTGTCTAACCCCAATAGACTTCAGAATGTCTATGAATGATGATCCCAATGAATCTCTTTTCATTATCAACATGGATATTAAAATCACCAACAATTAAAACTTTATCTGCAGCCAGCACTAACTCGGATATAAAATCAGCAAAAAAATGTTTTGTTTTGATTCTTTATTTATTAAACATTTTTGATTTGTAACTTTTTACAGCAGAGCCCGGGATCTGCCCACACACAATAAAAAAAAAAAAAAAAAAAAAAAAAACCACAATTTTAAAACAACCTTTTTGGCAGCAGTAAGAGCAGCAAACAGAATCATGTTTTGATTGACAGACAATGACAGTGACGAATCATCCAGCAAAAGAAAAAGCAGTGGGTCCTTTTGGATCCGAGTCTTCAGAAGGTCTGACAATAAGTCCTATACCAAGGACCAAAGCAACGCAATTCGGGAACAGTCCCAGAACATATGTATATATGTACCTTGACTTGAGCTATTACACAGGTGACGGGGGGGGGTCAGACTTTCTTTTCATTTTAAATAATAAACAGGGAGTGGCATATGCCTTATAGATTAATTTATAATGAATAATTTGGTGAGCTGGGTTTTTAGCGGTAGCAAAACAATTTCCCCAGACATTGTCCCAATCAATCACGGTATTAAGTTCTTTTTCCCAGAAACCCTTAGTCGGAATGTTTGAATACTGTCGTACCACAAGTGATTTATAAATTATACTCACAACACCTCTAGAAGCCATACTAGAATCTATCCAATTTACCATAGGATGAGGAGATATTTTAATTGACCAGGGTACTCCGTAAGCTTTCAGCGCAGATCTTAATCTTAAGTACAGGAAAAAGGAGAATCCTGGGAGAGAGAATTCATCCTTTAGGATCTGAAAGGACTTGAGCCCATAATCATTGTACAGGTCCTTTAAAGTGTAAATACCACATTTAACCCAGCATTTGGAAACGAATGGTTTGTTACCAGTACAAAGATTATTATTATGCCAAATGGTGGTAGAGTCAATGTAAGGATCTGAAGCTCCCATAATCTTTTCTGCTGCTTTCCAGGTTTTGATAGAATGGCATATAATTGCACCAAACTTTTCCAGAACTTTCTTAGATATTCCAGTAAAGGGTAAATCCTGTAGACGCAATGGGGTATATAATATTAGTTTCTAAAGCCCGCCATGGGACAGGGGAGTCAACGTCTAGCCACGTCCTAAGTGGTCTCATCTGGTATGCTAAATAATAGGA